TCTTATTATGAACTTTATTTTGACCAATGAACTATGATTATATGATTTACCATTCTTGAGTTATACCCAGTCTATCAATTACTATCTACTACATTCACAGCCACTTTTGGCTAAATCTCGTAAAAATGTGTATTTTCTATTTTATGGTGTGATGTGATCTGTTTGATTTGTATATAAACCCCAGTATGTTTGAAATCAATCAACCAATACCCTGGTAAGGCCGAGAGTGGGGAGAGTCCGCTCTCCCTCTCCTAATGCTTTCACATGGCCACACCTATATAACCTCTGCCAGGGAAGTCCTACTCACTGCCTTCTTGTGGCATTACTGTTGTTTACGAAATTGAGAAGACGAATAGCGAATATCCGGCGCTTTAACCGGGTTGGTGGACATGGAAAGTCCACCTAGGGTAGTTGGAAAACCCTGGTTCCAAACCAATGGTGTACATAGGCTCCAGTATTCTGAGGGAACAAATGACGTATGAACCAATCGTTGGTCACCGGCTACCATGGGACTGCATCTCCTTACGATGCTCCACTGCCTTGTGGATCTGACCTTAAGGTCGAAGGCTCGAGGTGTGCCCCCTAAGAAAACCACCTGCTTCGGTTTGTGCAAATGGACAGTATCACAGCCCTCATACAAATCAATTGAGATTCGTGTGACGCATATGTATTTGGTGCCTCCTTGTACCAATATCTATGTGTTCAAATAAATAAATGATATATAGCATATCGCAGAGGCTGAGAATAGTGTTCTGGACTTAACAGGCAGGGCTAGACAGGAAGCAGGATCGCCAAGGACTTGAGACTGCTCGTCATTGGTCCGGCCGATAAATCACTGTTCTCTAATAAGCGGTATCATTGATAGGGGCACAAACCCACAATTTATAACAATTAACTGTTTTAATTTTAGCAGCCTAAAGCGTCTAATAGGATTTGAGTTGTAAACTATTAAAAGAAGTCAACTATGGTAGTTAAATGTGTTAAAAACTTTACACTAAAACACATAATGCAGCTGCAGGATTAATGAGGACATTTTGATAGATTCAATAATACATTATCTTAGTAATTACATTCTACTGAAATTCCCAATTAAGATGCGAGCATTAGAAAAAAGCTAAACTTAGTCAAGAAATTGTGGAGTTAAATTGATGAGACTATTATTTATGGACGACTTTTGAGCGACGCTAAACTGACCTTGAGAGTGTCCACCTAATAATTAGGACCAAATGAGGGTTATAATTATTTATAATATTTATTTTGACACATAGGTATTGGTACAAGGAGGTACGAAATACATATGCATCACACGAATCTCAATTGATTTGTGTGAGGGCTGTGATACTGCCCGGGTGCCCAAACCGAAGCAGGTGGTTTTCTTAGTGGGCCACACCCTGAGCCTTCGACCTGAACGTCTGACCCACAAGGCAGTGGAGCATCGTAAGGAGATGCAGTCTCATGGTAACCAGCCGGTGACCAACGATTGGTTCATACGCTACTTGTTACTTCAGGATAATGGAGCCCATGTGCGCCATTGGTTTGGGATCCGGTTATAGCGCCGGACATTCGCTTTTCGTCTTCTCATTTTTGCAAACAACACCCCCGCCACGAGAAGCCAGTGAGTAGGACTTCCCTGGCAGAGTCTATATACGTGTGGCCATGTGAGAGCATTTCGAGAGGGAGAGCGGACTCCCCCCACTCTCGGCCGTACCAGCGCATTTGGGGGCCAAAAATGAGGGTTATAAACTAGTGTAAGTTAATAGAATTATGATTTGCCGTTGATGGTTAGGATTAAGAATTAGATTTAGGGGTTTCATCACGAATTGACATCAGCTATAATGCCAAAACTTCATATACCCAAATGGATGAATAAATTTCGCGCTAAAATCTGAGACCTGTTTATTTTGTACTTGATTAGTTCATTCATAAAATTATAGTCCATGAAAAGTAAACATGAATAGCACATACATAACGTACACTAAAGGAATGATTTAATTCAGTAAATAAACTGAATCCCATGAAAAATATTGTTTCCTTTTGCTTTTTAAAACTGACATTTAGTTTTTAAACATAGTTACAGCAGAGAGACAGAGAGAGAGAGAAAGAGAGCTCGGCTTCAATCATTAACTGTTCAGCTATACCAGTAATATCACGAATTCTTAGACATAAAGTAACTCAAAACTAGATAAACGAGTTAACTTTCTTCTCACTGACAATTCAAATTGACAAAAATTTTTTAAGTTTCTATACTAAATTAATCCTAGACTCAGTTAAACAAATTCGAATATAATGTAACGTATTATCATTTACAGACTTGTAAAAACAAAGCCAAAATCATGCAGTTTGACTTTAATGACTTTAACCATTGTAGGATAAGAAGGTAAAAAGTCGTTAGGACAGAATTCAAAAACCTGGCTGATAATCGTAATTCGATATCAAATGCCCTGGTATGGCTGAGAGTGGGGGGGAGTCCGCTTCTCCTCTCGAAATGCTCTCACATGGCCACGAGTATACAGCCCCTGCCAGGGAAGTCCTACTCACTGCCTTCTCGTGGCAGTGAGGTGTTGTTTACGAAATCGAGAGGACGAAAAGCGAATGTCCGGCGCTATAACCGGACCCCAAATCAATGGTGTACATGGGCTCCAGTATCCTGCGGGAACAAATGGCGTATGAACCAATCGTTGGTCACCGGCTTCCATGGGACTGCATCTCCTCACGATGCTCCACTGCCTTGTGGATCAGATCTTTAGGTCAAAGGCTCGGGGTGTGGCCCACTAAGAAATCCACCTACTTCGGTTTGGGCACCTGGGCAGTATCACAGCCCTCACACATATCAAATGAGATCTGTGTGGCGTATATGTATTTGGTGCCTCCTTGTACCGATATCTATGTGTTAAAATAAATAAAAATAAATAAAATAAAATATCATTCTGAATATCGAATGCTTTAAATCCAGTTATCATATGGAAGACGTTTAGACTGATTGTGTACCCAAATATAATCAAATCCAGTCATCTCAAGTATTTAAAAACATTTCTACGCAAAGCTTGACGTGAAACACCGCTGTGGTATGCAGTACAGCCATCAAATAAGTGAGAAAATGACCAAAAGTGGTGGGCACAACACACTTGGTGAACACTGGAAACGTTACTAATAGCTCTTGCTATATTTTGCATGACAGTTTTTCACTATCCTCGAAAAAGGCCGAAATAGTGGTTTAGCTTATCTCATACACATAGTCTGTTACTGGCCTTGGAATATACAAAACGCAATGACATACCAGATGAGATAACTACCGAAACAAGTGCAAGAGTTGGTTAAAGGATGAGACTATAATTTATGGACGACCTTTGAGTGATGACAAACTGACCTTGAGAGTGTTCATCCAATAACTAGGACAGAATGAGGGTTATATATTAGTATGAAGAATTAGAATTATGATAGTTAAGGTTGTGAATGAGATTTAGGGTTTTCACCACGAACTGACATCAGATATAATGCCATGAATCTATTTAGCCAAATGGATGAGTGAATTTCACGCCAAAATCCAAGACCTGTTATTTTATACCTGATTGGTTCGTCCATAAATTATAGTCTCACTGAAACTACTTCAACTGATATGTAATTATTGTCTAATACGAATTTAATTATACTAATATCAATGTAATTAAAATTGAAAATCAAACTTAATCGCATTTGAGTTTTTGACAGTTCAATAATAAATAGGATAACTACTCAAATGCCCCCAAATGCCGTAGTACGGTCGAAAGTGGGGAGAGTCAGCTCTTTCTCTCTCGAAACGCTCTCACATGACCCCATGCACACAACCACTGCCACGGAAGTCCTACTCGCTGCCTTCTCTCAGTCGGGGTGTTTTTTTTACGAAACAGAGAGGATGAAATGCAAATGGTCGGCACTTTAACCGTGTTTGTGGACACGGAGAGTCCACCTAGGAGAGTTGGAAAACCCTGATTCCAAACTAATGGTGCACATAGGCTTCAGTATCCTAAAGGAATAAATGACGTATGAACCAATTGTTGGTCACCGGCTACCATGGGATTGCATCTCCTGACGTTTCTTCACTGCATTGTGGATTAGACCTTTAGGTCAAAGGCTCGGGGTGTGGCCCCCTAAGAAAACCACCTGTTTCAGTTTGGTCACTCGGACAGTATCACAGCCCTCACACAAATGAAATGAATTATTTGGCAAATATCTAACTGATGCTTCCTTGTACTAATCTTTATGCGTTTAAATCAATAAATACTCAAAAATTTCTGATTGTTTTCTTTGGAATTTGTTCTCAATTCTAATGATCTTTCTTAAGATTATTTGTATTAAAAAAAATGGTAATTTCAGTCAGCCAATCAGCTGTAACGTAAGATCAGGCAAATATATTCATTAATGCATTGTATACATAACATTTGTTTTAAACAACTTTCTGTAAAAGTACCATACTAATAAATAATGAAGAATAGCATTTGTGTTCTTTTTTGTTCGAATGGAATAATTATTGAATCGATGCAATGAGATTATGCCCAAGATTTCTTAGTCAGTCAGTCAGTTAGCTACAACGTAGGACCAAGCACATATATGCGTCAGTTCAAGTTGTCATACCGCATTAGCACAACAAGATGAACACCGAATTCATAGAAGTAGTTAATTCAGTGGTGGTAATATATAGAAGAAAGATTACATATAAGCATACAGTACAGGAAGAAAGAATTATTTCGTAGAATGAAAGATATGAAGCAATTTTAATCTCATAGTTTAAGGGAAGACAGAGAGTGTATACACCGACGCCATTGTGATCGATTCTGAGCTATAACATCAAGAGTCTCCAACCATTGGTTACGATAATCACGCAGATCCCAACCAGATAGTGTGTATCTACCAACATAGCTCAAACCAAAAGTTGGTGACTTCAAGCACTGATAGTAGTTACGAAATCATAAAATGATAGAAACGACAAATCGAGAAATCTACTCAAATATATATAAACTTACTCTCTTAAAAGACGACGTTTCAATTGAAATTCATTTGATCTCTGTGATGTTAATACTTTATTTAATAATTCAACAGATCGACCACTTTTTAATGGTTTTATATTTTCTTTAGATAATTCCCATTCAAAATTATCAGTTTCAGACCTAAATTAATAATAAATATGATTTGAATATACTATATAGATAATTATAATATAACCAATATTGAAGTAAATATAATAAATAACAAACTATCTAGTACATATATGACTTGTTTTAAACTAGACAGAGAGAAGGAAAGATAAAGAATTAACAAAATGAACAGAAGAAAAATACAAGTCACTATAATGACGGTAGTAAGGAACTAAACAGATTTATTTTATTTATTTATTTGAACACATAAATATTGATACAAGAGGGCACCAAATATATATGGCCCCCAAATGCCAAGGTACGGCCGAGAGTGAGGTAGATCTACCCACCTTCTCGAAATGCTTTCACATGACCACGCGTATACAGCCACTGCTAGAGAAGTCCTACTCACTGACTTCTTGTGGCGGGGGTATTGTCTACGAAAATGAGAGGACAAAAAGCGAATGTCCGGCGCTTTAACCGGATCCCAAACCAATGGTGCACATCGGCTCCAATATCCTGAGAGAACAAATAGCGCATGAACTAATCGTTGGTCACCGGCTACCATGGGACTACATCTCCTCACGATTTTCCACTGTCTTGTGGATCAGACCCTTAGATCAAAGGCTCGGGGTGTGGCCCCCTAAGAAAACCACCTGCTTCATTCTGGGCACCCGAGCAGTATCATAGCTCACACACAGACAGTCCTAATAAAAATAGTGATGTAATATATACAAGAAAGTTTTAAAAAGTTTCTTTTTTTAAGATCTAACGAAAGAATATTTATCATTAAGGCAATGAAAGATTATTAACCATCTCTTTTTGAACATATAAATTAGGTTTTTGAAGGCTGACAGCAAAGGTTTCAAAAGAATGAAGTTTGGATGTTTATTAATCGTTTTGAGGGATTGCAGGGCATCGATTTGATATCCTACATTTAAGAGATGTTTGGTAATTGTACTGTTTAAAGTCGTTCTTTCTTTTGTACTGAGGTTTTTTTAAATATGTTAAAGAAATCCAAGACATGCCTTCCTTTCTGTTTGGACAATGTAGCTGTATTGGCAAGTACACGTAAATTTATAAATACACGGAGGTAACATAAAAAAGGTGCCTGTTGACTTTCGACTAGGTTATTGAACATGTTGTTTTATACAGCATTAATAGTTTGTCTGCCACGTCAATTCTAGCTGATACAGTGTTAAGCCTCCTGTTGATTGTGCTTGCGTCATTATTACATTTGAAGTTGAGATTTATAGATAATGGTTTTTTATTGACTGTCAATCAGTCAGCTACAACGTAAGATCAGGCAAGTATGTGCATCGGTTCAAGTTGTCACACCTCATTAGCACAACAAGATAAACACCAAATTATTAGATGTTACTTCAGTGGTAGTAATATATAAAATAAGGATTGTGTATAAGGACATAGTACAGGAAGAAAGAATTACTTCGTAGAAAGATATAAAGCAATTCTAATCTCACAGTTTAAAGGAAGACAAACAGTGTAAACACGGACGCCATTGTGATCGATTCTGAGCCATGTCACACAGTCTCCAACCATTGATTACGATAGTTACACAGACCCCAACCAAATAGTCTGCATCCACCAACATGGCTCACACTAGAAGTTAGTGACTTCAAGCACTCATGCCATGTTTTGGTTCGACCGTCTCTAATTTTCTTCCAACCGTCTCCAATAGTAGTCAGCATTGTGTGTCGTGGTAATCGGTGTTCAGATATATGTAACATATGGCCCAACCATCCCAGTCAATGAAGATTCACAACCTCATCAACTGATTTACCATCATTCCCTAGTACCCTGAATATAACCTTACTATTACTTACCCGGTGATCCCAGCAGATGCCAGCAAAATTTCTAAATCTTTTGTAGTCAAATACTAGTAGCTTACGAGTATCTTCTACTCTTAATAGTCATGTTTTGCAGCCGTAAACTAGAACAGAACGAACTGCCGCGCAGTATACTCGACCCTTAATTGATGGACAGATATCTTGCCTTCGCCATAGGTTATGTAAGTTGGCAAAAGCCAAACGAGCTTTTTGAATCCGTGTTGGGATTTCGTCAGACAACAACCCATTAGATGTGATCAGACTTCCAAGATAAATGAAGTTGTCGACGCGTTCGATTAGTTCACTCCCTACTCTTAGTTCAGGTGTTGATGTAGACCAGTCCTGAAGCAACAACTCGCATTTGGAGAGGGAAAAACGCATCCCAAACATCCTGGCACTGTTGCTCAGTGCTACCAAGAGACTTTGTATTTTAGCAGCGTCTTCACCAAACAGGACCATGTCATCTGCGTATTCTAAGTCGACAAGTGGACCTTCTGTTAGGAGACCAAAGCCCACGAGGGCGTTATTTCCATCAGTAGGTTTATGAAGTTAAACAAAAATGGAGATAGTGGACAACCTTGCTGGACACCACTTGAGGTTGCAAACACATATAGAAGTTCACCATAGACTCTGACTCGACTGACAATGTTCGAGTAAAGAGCCTCTATATTGTTTATGAACTTCTATTTATTGACTGTAGTCAATTCCGTCTTTTCTTTAGGTTTTCTATATTTGCCAATGAATTTCTGTGGAGAGCAGTTGCTTCTTAGGTATTTTTCAACGGTCATCGAATTCCTTATTGAAGTCATTGTTTTTGCAAAGTTTAGAGGATACCCGAAACCTGGGGGCTGGGACATGACTTGATAGAGGTATGGTCTTAAAAAAGAACCTTTATATATTAACTGAAGGATCCGGCGTCTATGAAATGCCAAACACTGTTACTAAAAGCTTGATGATCCATAGTAATCATCGAGATATGGATAATTATACAAATAATATTGTATTACCCATTGTGCAAACGCATAATGATCTAAGGGTTATTATTAAAAGTCTTCGAGGAACCACAAAGCTATCCGCAGACTTATTTACCTAGCATTCAAAGAGTTTATCTCACTTAATAACGCATTTTCTAGTCAAAATCCAGGGTGCTGTACGAAAACATCTAGTCTTAGTCTGAAGAAATATTATAAACTACTAGAAATAGGTCAAAGGATAAACACACAAATGAATTCAAGAATCACTTTCACATGCCACTAAATTAGCGAAGTTCGATTTTTTATTTATGTTATGTAAAAATGCCGGAGTAGTCTTGTATTTCAATTATCTATTTTAAATAATGATTAGGATGCTAAAACGGCCTACATTTCTTTTTTCTCTAGGGCTAACTATCTCCAAGACCAACAAAAAATGTCCAAACACCACGATCAAACAAACCGAGGATGAAGTAGATTTAATTAAATCGTCAACGATTGGATAGCCCTGACTAGACAAACAGTATCAACCTCATAGATGGACACTACCAAACGAAAATTGGGCCTTCACAGAAATGGGACTGACGCAGGTCAACTTGCCTCATATTTTCATTACTGGTGAGTGAAATGAATCCAAAGAGAGACCAAAAACATACTGAAGCATAAATACAAATCCTACCTAATTTAACCGAAAGTAATGAAACTACAACACATACAAAACATAAGGATAATGCATATGACCATGATACATCAAACTAATTATGAATACCACCCCAAAAGATCACTTCTGGTTTTTGGTTGAAAAAAAGGGACTGAAAGTACCAGCTAGGTCTTTGACAGAAGTAAGCTTGAACCCTTTGAAGGTTAAAGTCTATTATTATGGAATTTACTACAGGGGAAGATAGGTTTGACAAAAATGATTAAATCGCTTGAAAAAGGGTACAAATCTATATTAGGATCAGTGGATCTGCCAATACATTTTGACTGTAGACCTTTAATTAACCTAATTTGTTAGTATTCGTATGGAAGCATCAAAACCTGAAAAGATTAACAGACTGTACACTATTTTCCCAGTAAAACATTGAGGTCTGACCACATACATCTCTTGACTAACGCACTAATAATAAAATATCAATCTCCCTACTTTGGAGGAATTTCCGGTAAATCTTCAAGTTTTCCCCAAACTAATAAAAATTTAATTGTTTTCCTCAAAGTTTGTGGAAATTTTGGGGAAAACCTATAAGTTATAACATTCTAGAAAAATGTTGGCGAGAACCCTAAACTTTGAGAATTTTCCGCAGATTCGAGAAAATTTTGGATTTTTTGTGCCATTTCTCGAAATTTTGCTATGGCGGTTTCCCTAAAAACGGATCAAATTTTACCATAATTAGAGAGATCGGAATTTTACGTAATGACTGACCATGAAAACCAATGAAACCGGGGGATATATACGGCTTAATAGTGTACAAACAGGTTATAAGATTCGTGGCACAAATCGTATAAATTTCCTTATAGATTTATGCGACGCATGAAATATTCAATTAGCCTTACATCCTCTGATAACTGGATGGCCCGCTCTGATTCCTCAAATACCGGTTAACGCGCGGTCTGATGTCCAATACGTAGGAACGAGCTTGTACAGAACAATTGATTTACTTTGCACTCACTTCTTGTTTTCTCAAAAAATTACAGGAATCCGGTTATGTCCAATGAGCTGTAGTGTAGCCACTCAATATCACTAGTTCTAATCATTTTTGTAGTTACTTGTTGATCTCAATCCTGTAGTTTGAGTGTATGAGTTTGTGTTGGGGATGCAAGGATTCTGGATACCAGCAGCTACCGCATTATTAAGTAGGAGGTTTGTTGATTTCAACGTAAAAAAAAAATAAAGTGGTAATTTGAGTGCAAAAAGAAGACGATTGTTTCAGGTATAAATAGACAACTGTTAATGTGTAAGACTATGGAATCGACAGGGTAAGGAGGGGAACGTAGATGAAAATAAACGAGATGGAAATGAGTTACTGATATACGATAATTATAATCTGATAATTTTTGAGAAATTCATCGAGAATAACTTATTAAGGTGGGAAATTGTAATCCATGCGTGTGTATGTTTATCAAGTCTCCACTCAAAACTCTCCACTGAGAGGGCTGTGATCAATTCGACCAGAAAAACATTCAAAATGAGGGCAACTGTTAGTGAGATATAGTGATAGAGAACCAGGTTATTGTGTGACGTCGGTTAATTCAGTAAGGTGTGGTGGAACTGCTTTGAAGTGACTATCTCTGCATATCGGCACTTCACATATTTCTGGTAGTCTGTATTCAATATGATCCTTAAACTTCGTAAACAGTTCGTCCTGATAACCGTCATTAAAAAACGTCCTGACGATGTATTATTAAAGAGGATTAAGTCTATTATTGCAACACGTACAGATCACCAAATTTACAGGTTCGCTAAGCAAGAATGAAAAAGCAGTGCCGAAAAGCAAGCGAGTGAGTGAGCGTAAGAGTCGGATGAGTGATCAATCAGCGAACAAAATGATGCAGAGTTTATACATGCATATATAAAACGGGGTCATTTAGTTCTCACATCCTCATTAACAAATCTGAAGTAGAATTGAGGACACAAATAATGTAATGAGAGATTTTCTCAAGTACTAACACTCTGTAATTTCGTGTAAGAATATGCTGATGTTGAAATGTTCTGTGAACCTTATATTCTTCACACTGTCATGTGAATTTATACTCTATGATTAGCTCGTTTTGCATTATATCGGTCAGTGAAGACGGTGAGAAATGCAAGAACGATGAGAGCTTGAATATTGATGCGAGTTGGCTGAAATATGCACGAAATAAATAATTCTGTAAATTTTCCACATTGATGTAGACTTCGTTATTAATATTAGACACGGCCAAAGTTAAACAACTCTATGAGGAATGTTTAATATGATCAGAGAAATGTACTCTGAAGAGTCCTATGGAAATATTGAATGTCGCATATTACTTTGAGTTAATTTTTGACGCACATTCAACAAACCAGATCAAATGTGTGATCACTTCATCTCAGTTTGGATGTAGTGTCGCATGAATGGGATTTTTTGCCAGTGGCAATACACATTGGACAGTTTGGTTTTACACATTCATTGATGAATGGTTGAAGAGGAAGTCTGGGACGAGAAATATACAGTGTCATTTGAAAGGATTTACGGACAACGGATGAACGATGTCGCATAAACTATAAACTAAAATCATACAGCCTATCACACGTATATTCACGAGATCTATCACATTCACCATGTTTGTTTTACACACTTCGAATGCAAAACAAATTTCTATCTGTCCACATACTTTATTTTTGAAAAATCACGAGTACAACTGAACACAATCTTAGGAGTTCACATAACATCAATTATCAGTGTGAAGGATAATAAAATACGCAGTTAAATTCACAGCCTATTCACTTATGATGTTTTTGTTGTCGTTATAATATCATGTAATCGAATTGTGGCATCGGTTCCGCTTCCTGTACATTGACCGCAACACTTCTCTTGAAATGAATTCCAGAAACTGAAAATCAAATCACACAACAAAATAATCAGAATCACCATTTCGAAGCATCACTCGATTATAGGCAACAATAAGACGAATCACAATGTGGAACATTCACATGAACGTGCTTGAATAGAGAATGTTCAATCATATAATAATGTAATGCCTAACGCGATCTTACACACTAATATGTTCTGCATTCGTTACAACGAGCTCAAAGTATAAATGACCATACAACTGGCAAACTACTTACCTGATATTAGAAAACAGTGTGGTCCTAAACTGCCGATTGACAAAATCACCAACGCCAAGATCATCAATTTCATAATTGTGATCTGCATTTGTGAACGAATAAATGGATCATCTTACCTTCATTATGCCAATACGGGATAATTGTTAAATTACAGAACACATTGATGCAAAGTTTATATATGCATATATAAAACGGGGTCATTTAGTTCTCACGTCCTCATTAACAAATCTGAAGTGGAATTGAGGACACAAATAATGTAATGAGAGATTTTCTCAAGTACTAACACTCCGTAATTTCGTGTAAGAATATGCTGATGTTGAAATGTTCTGTGAACCTTATATTTTTCACACTGTCATGTGAATTTATACTCTATGATTATCTCATGACACCACAGACAAATCACTATATTTGGAAATATCCAACCCATAATTATTGCAGAACTGAGACCGTAGATGACGTTTCTAAACATTGGAAACGTTTATGTTCCCGATAACGTTTACTATATAAAGCCCACTGAAGGCTTCAGCTTCAACTATGAGTATAAGAAATTTTACAGTTCCAGAAACAGTGTTGCTTGTTAATTTCTGTGACAGTTCGGAAGACCCTCCCGGTTTCCATGTACCTAAATTATTAATTGCTCTGTCTTTCAAAATGATCATCAGTCTTGTGATTTTTGAAGGAACTGGACTTTCGACATGAAGTGTCATAACTCTTCTGAATAAAAACTTTCTAACTCCCAGGACAGAATATAATTCGTTTGAATTATTTTTCTGGTTAATGTTGTTTAGCGAATTAGTTTGTAGTGGCATTGTGCTTTACCACGAGACGATATGAGAAATAGACATTAAACATTCAACGAGGAGGAATACAGAAGAATGGAGAAGCGGGGAGAATAAAATTCAATTAGTCCGAGTTGATCGGATGGCATGGCTCGGCCTTGCAGGCGTGGTACCAGCTGAATGTTATCTTGTACCCTCTATTCATATTAAATATATTGTTCCATCTCTAGCCTAAGCTTTTTCTCTATCACGCATTGGTAATTGTTACAATGCAATGAATCGGTGTAGACGATGATGTAACTCTCACGTAAGATCTTATAGATTAGGCAGTTACATCATGATAAATCTACAATTTTAGGATTAGGTCTATTATTAGAGCAGTGCTAATATCATAGTAGACAGTAATTCTACAAGTTTACCATCGGGTGAGGTCGCTAGCGCCATACTCAACCCTCCTCCTATATTCGAGCTTGTGACCAGCAGTAGCCCCATAAGGGCTGCAGGAGAAGTTGTATACAGATAATAGGGTATTAATTAGTCCAAATGTCAAAAAATTGCAAAGAATTTCCACCATTCAATGTCCGACTATTAACTGGCAAATAAAATTCCACAATTGACGTCTCAATAATTTCGGTTTCTTTACAATAATCTGAACTAAGTGAACACAGCGTTCGCAGTAATCTTACATAGTTTCGTTGATGGTTAAATTAAGAGTCTATTCATTTATGATGATTTCGATGTCGATATGAATTTATGTCATCGAATTGTGACATCGGTTCCGATTCCTCTGCATTGACCGCAACACTTCTCTTGGGATGAAATCCAGAAACTAAAAATCAAACCACAGAGAACAGCCATCAAAATTTTGATTTCGAATAACGGCTCGATTATAGGTAGTAATAACAGTCTAAGCGACTTCCTAGGAGTTTTTTTAATAGGAAACTTGATCTATTTTGAAGGACTACGGATAATATCTTACCATGATTTACCAATTTCCTTTTTCCTCTATCATAGTTAATACACTTACGTTCCTACCTGGTGGTATTGGTGATCCACTGCCACTAGACACAGAAGCCCGTTAAGCGGAAGCTTCTTCTATTCCGTCCTTAACCACTTTGAACCACTTGAATTTCATAACCTATTCAGGTGCATTTGTGAAAAATTCATGACCTTTCACTGTGCAAGTTATGAAAGAGCACAAATAGACACATTGTGTTTGCTGAGAATATACATCGAAAATAATATACTTTATTTGAATGTTGATTTCCAAACAGGTGACGTTTAATTAACGATCACTGAATGTTTATCATCAGGATCGATCCAGAAATAAGAAACTGAAAGTTGTTGAAATACTTTACGCTGTGAATTTTTTATTGTACCAAAAATATGGTACTAAATATAGCTAGTAAAACCAAAAAATTAAAAAAATGCCCAACAATATAAAAAATTTTGAGCACATTACATTTCAAGTATCCTAAGCTAGAAACCCAGCCACAACCATATGGAACAGACCATCCGTGGAGCTCCAATGCAGTGAAACTACAGCCCGCTTGTGAATTCTCCTCGATGATTTTCTTTCCGAACTTGAACTGTGTCATCTATTGTATATCATTGTGTTTAACAATGATTTGCACAAATAAGTTCCGTCATCTATTTAATTGACTTTGAAATAAAGTAAAACCTTTGAAACGTTTCTCGTTTATTTCACTTTATTTCTATTGATCTTAATTTCTGAAGGCTGCTAATGTGCATATTTATGATTGTAATTGTAATTATTATCACGATTAGTCCCTTGATACATTAGATATTCTTTCTATCTCTCCTTTTCCTTCTAAACATGTATTGTACATAAACATTCAAAGTCTGTAATGACCTACTTTTGTCAAGAGAACGCGATCGGTATAACGGAAACAATTATTATTATAACCAATTGTACCATTTATTATTTTACTGTACTTGTTTGTTTAACTGTACTAAAAAACATACATTCTTCCCTTGACTGTGACCTTGCACGTTCTCGGTTACGCTTAGTAGTTCCACTTGTACTTTTTGGCACGATCTCGGTACTCTTTCGATATCACGAGATTGCCAACACATATATCTTATCACAAATGTCGACTGCCTTCTGGATTTTCGCCTACGAAGGGATCCAACGCAGTATCTGACACGTAGTTTAAGTGCAGTAGTGATCATAGTCAAACGCGACCAGACTCTACGCTGCAACTCTACAAGTCTATGAGTAAAAACAAATTATCTTGTGTTACACTTAAATAAACTAACTTATCAGATTCATTTTATTACATTGTAGCGTGGTGTCGAGTTGAGCTTGACTATGAACACCGCTACAAGACTACTTGCCAATAGACCAATAAAATCCCGGTAGGCCAAAATATCAGAAGGCAGATGATTGTAGTAGTCGTATATATTTGTTGGCAATCTCGTGGTATCGAAAGAATACCGAGATCGTGCCAAAGGAGTACAGTTGCGATCGGCAAGATAAGATACGTGCGTAGTCCAAAAACCGCGTAAAAGCCATGGAATACAATGGGAGACTAAAATGGCTGTTATTAGCACAGTTAAACAAACGAGCACAGTAAAACAGTCACTGGTACAATTGGTTATAATAATAATTGTTTTCATCGAACCAATCGCGTTCTGTTGACAAAAGTAGGTCACTACAACATCACGCATATTTGACTTGTACATATTGATATCTCATGATCCTTTGCAATTAATTGTGACTTTCATAGCATCGCTCCAAACAATTACTACACAACTGCTTATTCTACTGTCACACCTTACTACAACAATGGTTTGGTTTCTTGTAGATTCTTATTTATTACACTTAAATTGGTTTTTCTTCTTTTATTCATTCGGCAATACAAACATAATTGTTTATACTTATACACGGTAGACAAACATGCTTATTAAACTATTTGCATATATTGCGCATCTTTCATATACATTCTCGTACTTTTTCCATTTACATTCTTAAAGTTAACTCAATTAAACTGAAATTGTTATTCATAGAAGCTTGTGGAGATGGCATGACAAACTTATTTTGTAAACAGTTTTTGATACTATCTGTATTTATTTTGTTAAATTTCACAGCTTGTACATTCACTATGAGATATATTATGCTAACATTACCGAAGCTTGTTGCATTTCTAAAAACGTAACGGGTTCAATTACAAAATATATGTACACACATGAAGTTGTGGATCGTAAGAATAATAATAGAGATATTTAGATCTTACGACCTCATTAGTGCAAATCGATAAGCATATGTTATACGAATAAAGAAACCATGTATACCTGAAATTTCACTAAGTAATTATTTACGCTCAGTTACACTTTGAATGTGCATTGATAACGATGTGAATTGTACTCTACGACTCTTCAACACTTCTCTAATAATTCAACACAAGCCTGTTAGTCTGTGTTTCACTACTCATCTACGAAGAATAAATGTGGAGTGTAGTGAGAATTGGACTTCGAATATGCCGAGGAGGTGTAAGCAGTCAAAGCATACAAGGATAAACTGTGTGAGAAATTCCTGTGCTTCTCGTGCTATTATGTCCATGAACTCAATACGCTTACTCATGAAACATCATCAAGTAACCAACTGGTCTTTTTCAGTTACTCCGAATACGTCAAATATTGTTTATGTATTCGGGAATTTCAAATAATACTATTCGTTTGTAAATAAATTAAGATGTTACACAATAATTTTACTCATTGATGGCTCATTTCATTATAACTCAATACGGGCTCGTCAGAACACCATAGTTTACATTCACAGATTATACACCAATTCGAATGAACATTCACAGAACCACTACAAGTTAAAAAGAAGATTTATTTGAAACGCGATTAAGGAATAAAAGCTTTTGCGAAGTTTAATATATCATTGAGACGAACGCCGTTTTTCTTATAATTGTCAAGAATTTTGCTTTTCGTATTATCGATTTCGCCTCTCTTCTCCATTGGTCGAGATCTGGCAGCAGCTTCGTTAGCCAGTCCTACAAAAACACAAACAATCATGATCAAAACGCACACCAAGTATAGTAAACACATCAAAATCATTGACAAATCAAAACATAAAAAATTATTACAATGTGTGGATTATGAAAGCAGTGCATTCAGTGTAACAAAACATGAATCATGATGAATAACTCACCCGCACCAACTAGGAATGGAACTACATCGTCTTTCGATAACACAATCTCACCACTCACTGAATTATCAACTGACACAATCATCAATATTGACAACAACACTAACGAACGGATCTGAACACACGAATCAACAAATACATGATAAACAACACGGTATATTGAACACTCACCATTCTCAATGAACTGACAACACTAGCGAAACACTGGAAGTGTGTTCGAATGTGATAAGAAGAGGAGCATAGTGAATGGATGTGGACACATTGTTTTTATACTGTGTGTGAGATGGAGTGTGTGGACATACAATCGTCTCGTGTTAGTACTTGTGATTCAGTGGAGGTCAAAGTGAGAGTGAGATTGCAGCATGTGTGTCAATGTTGAGTGGATGATTGAGTGAGTGGTCAATGGAGTGTATGAGTGAAGAAAATTTGGAGAGTGAATGATGGTGATTTGTTAGTTGACCTGAAATGAGTGGTAGTCTGAATTCAGACTTGCACATCTTCTCATTGTTGTTATGTGTGCACTTGACCTAGAATATTAAAGAGCAGTTACATTTACACTTTAACGATTTCATCTTGAACATGATTTGCCAAACTAAAAATATTCTAATATTAACAACCTATACTATCACAAGTGGATTAATAAGAAATGAAATTGGGAATCTATGATAATAAGAAGTAATTGAATTATAGTATGAACTAATAATCCCAGGGATAACGCAATTGAATCAAGAAGTACTACACTAGCACTAACGAATGTACTGTATTTTGAATTCGAAATCAAACATTCAACAAGTACAAAGGAGTCATTAGTTCATTCAAACACCACAGAATCACATGAAATTGGTTTGGATAGAGATGCTGAATTGATGCTGTGGTGCATATTACTTATATTGACGGATATTTTGTTACAAACGTTTTATGTAATTCATGTCATTTCATACACTTGTACTACGTATATCTTACCTGATATATGTATGGAGAAGTTATTACCTTTTGATGACGATAACAGGAAGCGATTAATATTGATTGGACTGCGAGATCGAGTAACTATTTCCTGCGCTTCAGGCCAACCCGACCAGCAAATATAAACGACAATGTACGGAGAAATTATGTTGAACATTGATTCTCAGTACTATGTTTAGAATGACTATGTGTTATTCTGTTAGATTGTTACCTTATTGAAATTCTTGATCAACATTATTTGTGTTTACTGTTCTATATAATGATTCATTCAGTGTAATATTTGTTTCTGTTTTGCAGTGTGATACCTTATTTAGTGTAATAATATATTGATTTATTTGTGTGTGATGTTATTTCAAAACACAATGTTCTTGTTTACATTTATCGTGGACTGTTGTCAGAATAACATGCAGCATGTGATTTGTCACAAATCATAGTATCTTTATACATGTGACTTTGTTCCATTTGCTAATAAGTTTGCGTATCCAATTAATATGTCAATGAGCATATTTTCGACTAGGTTTGTCGTTGTGTTATATATATCCGACAAATCTCCAGTTTTGCCAGACGTTGTTTTTTTACTTCTTATTGTGGGAATTGCAGTGGTTTCTCGATTACAAGTACGAGCATAAAGAAACCGTATATAATTGTTGACAACTGGTGTTTTGAAGTAGGTAAAGCCGTAACAAATTTATTTCCCAGTTAATAGTCAGATATTGAATGGTGGAAATTCTTTGCAATTTTTTGACACTTGGACTAATTATTACCCTATTATCCTGCAGCCCTTATGGAGCTACTGCTGGTCACAAGCCCGAATATAGGAGGAGGGTTGAGTATGGTAAACTAATTCGCTAAACAACACTAACCAGAAAAATAATTCAAACGAATTATATTCTGTCCTGGGAGTTAGAAAGATTTTATTCAGAAGAGTTATGACACTTCATGTCGAAAGTCCAGTTCCTTCAAAAATCACAAGACTGATGATCATTTTGAAAGACAGAGCAATTAATAATTTAGGTACATGGAAACCGGGAGGGTCTTCCGAACTGTCACAGAAATTAACAAGCAACACTGTTTCTGGAACTGTAAAATTTCTTATACTCATAGTTGAAGCTGAAGCCTTCAGTGGGCTTTATATAGTAAACGTTATCGGGAACATAAACGTTTCCAATGTTTAGAAACGTCATCTACGGTCTCAGTTCTGCAATAATTATGGGTTGGATATTTCCAAATATAGTGATTTGTCTGTGGTGTCATGAGATAATCATAGAGTATAAATTCACATGACAGTGTGAAAAATATAAGGTTCACAGAACATTTCAACATCAGCATATTCTTACACGAAATTACAGAGTGTTAGTACTTGAGAAAATCTCTCATTACATTATTTGTGTCCTCAATTCTACTTCAGATTTGTTAATGAGGACGTGAGATCTAAATGACCCCGTTTTATATATGCATATATAAACTTTGCATCAATGTGTTCTCTAATTTAACAACTATCCCGTATTGGCATAATGAAGGTAAGATGATCCATTTATTCGTTCACAAATGCAGATCACAATTATGAAATTGATGATCTTGGCGTTGGTGATTTTGTCAATCGGCAGTTTAGGACCACACTGTTTCCTAATATCAGGTAAGTAGTTTGCCAGTTGTATGGTCATTTATACTTTGAGCTCGTTGCAACGAATGCAGAACATATTAGTGTGTAAGATCGCGTTAGGCATTACATTATTATATGATTGAACATTCTCTATTCAAGCACGTTCATGTGAATGTCCCACATTGTGATTCGTCTTATTGTTGCCTATAATCGAGTGATGCTTCGAAATGGTGATTCTGATTATTTTGTTGTGTGATTTGATTTTCAGTTTCTGGAATTCATTTCAAGAGAAGTGTTGCGGTCAATTTAAAGGAAGCGGAACCGATGCCACAATTCGATTACATGATATTATAACGACAACAAAAACATCATAAGTGAATAAGCTGTGAATTTAACTGCGTATTTTATTATCCTTCACACTGATAATTGATGTTATGTGAACTCCTCAGATTGTGTTCAGTTGTACTCGTGATTTTTCGGAAATAAAGCATGTGGACAGATAGAAATTTGTTTTGCATTCGAAGTGTGTAAAACATACATGGTGAATGTGATAGGTCTCGTGAATATACGTGTGATAGGCTGTATGATTTTAGTTTAAAGTTTATGCGACATCGTTCATCCGTTGTCCGTAAATCCTTTCAAATGACATTGTATATTTCTCGTCCCAGACTTCCTCTTCAACCATTCATCAATGAATGTGTAAAACCAAACTGTCCAATGTGTATTGCCACTGGCAGAAAATCCCATTCATGCGACACTACATCCAAACTGAGATGAAGTGATCACACATTTGATCTGGTTTGTTGAATGTGCGTTAAAATTTCACTCAAAGCAATATGCGTCATTCAATATTTCCATAGGACTCTTCAGAGTACATTTCTCTGATCATATTAAACATTCCTCATAGAGTTGTTTAACTTTGGCCGTGTCTAATATTAATAACGAAGTCTACATCAATGTGGAAAATTTACAGAATTATTTATTTCGTGCATATTTCAGCCAACTCGCATCAATATTCAAGCTCTCATCGTTCTTGCATTTCTCACCGTCTTCACTGACCGATATAATGCAAAACGCGCCATCAATACATGCAGTAATGCACAGTAGGTCAGACTGCATTTAACTAACGAGTAAATCTGAATACTAGTTGACATCAATCAGCGACCAGTCGTTCTATATTCGAAAACACTAGTCATGAGTTCACTTGACAAATAAACAATATGATCGCATACAGGCACACATTCAAATATGCGATGTTGCAATATCCATATTAAATGTAACCCGTTGCATGCATTTCATTTCACATATGTTTGGCAGACACAGTGTTGCTCAATAAATTACATTTATGATACAGTTTAGTGTGATTGGTTATTTCAAGCAGCGACTTCGATTTACGTTGTTCCAGATCTCCAAATCTAATCTTTTATGTTTGTCATAAATTCGAGGGAATGCAAACAGTGCAGTCTTAATATAAATCGGTCAATGATGAATTCTCAGATACAACTGAATTGAAGGAATCTCGGTGTAACTGTTGACCTCAGTTAACCTTAGTGGAATTTTAGCCCAACCGACCTCCTTGTTGACTCAGTTCAGAATGTATGAATAATGGGTCTGTTTTGTCTTAAAATAAACATCATGGGTCTATCATATCGACCTTTTCAATTACTTTTACAGTAAGTCAAACGAAGCAGTTCCATACATTTAACTTCATAAATGTTTGAGGAACTCAGTACTGCTCACTGAAATACATCTTCGATACGATTCTGTGTGAATGGATATTTCAAGCAATGACTCCGATTTATTTTGTTCCAGATCTTCAGATTTTGTGATTTATTTTTGTCACAAGTTTGACAGAATGCAAGCAGTACAATCTTCATCTAAACAGGTCGATGATGAGTTCTCGGATACAACTGGATTAAAGGAAATTCAAAGTGACTTCATGTGTTGACCTCAGTGGCGTTTCAGCTCAATAGATCTCCTTGTTGACTCAATTCAGATTTCATTGATGATCCAGTTTAGAAATCATTTATACTAATTTGTCTGAAATTCCTTACCTAATAATTACTGTAATCAATTCCGTCTATAAGTGAGTGCATTCGAACGATTGATAATCACGCTTAGCCTTATTAACAAACCTTCTAGACAACTGTGGACTTCCGCATCTAGTTAGTCTAGGGGAATGTAGGGTGTTTGATGGTAGTTTGCTCATTCAATTTGAAGTTGGGTTCGATATTATCCGCTCAGCGTGCGGACGCCCCATTACACTGTGTATTCCAATCTTATGCAATATCAGTTTACAAATAAACCATTTAAAACAAATTCCAACTTGATTTGATGTAATGTGGTGACTAGACTTCAAACTAGTGTTTATCTAGTCATTTTCGAAACTGTTCTTAGTACATAGTGAATTTTGAATATCCCATTATTGCTGGTTGAAATACTATAAGCTGATTTATTTATTTGGCTACCTAGTCTCTGTGCGAACATCCAGGAGGCCGAGAAATTTACTGATTACTCGCAAGTACGAACACGTTTTAGTCTATGCTGAAATATGCCAACCCGCTAGTCTCTCTTTATTCATGAAAAATAATAAACTCGATAGCTCCAATATATTTGTTGTGTTGTTGTTTTATGTAAATTAGATGACTTTATTATTTAGCTTCATGTAAAGTGATCTTCGTGACCATTCCTCGAGCGTTGGATCAGTTTGTTTTGATGCATTTGTTTACTATTGGTTGTGTTCGTATATGTTTTCATTCAGTCCTTCTTCTACTTGGCCTGAAGATCTGGTTTAGTTGATTATTATCTGTGAATTTAATGGACCGCCTTCATTCTTGTTGACACATTGATTCTCTATCGACGAGTCTATTATTTACTGACTGATTTGAGTATCTGTACAGTAGTTCAGGAGTTTTCTAGCCGAATTTTCGTCCGATGTTGTCTAGGTGTATTTATATCAGTGATGATACATTGCATCGTAACACCCATAGTGTTTGTTTATTTATGCGTAGATGAAGTTGGTATTACTTTCAAAGATTTGGTGCCTATACCAGTTGATACAAATAATTTGTAGGTGATCTTGCATTTAGAACAGGAAATATAAAAGAATAATATCGCTTTCCACTGGGTCAACATCATGCTTTAATCTAGTATGCTGTAATATCTGTTTGAGTGCATACAAACAACAAACCAATGAAGCCGACTTATGAGTCAATGACTACAATGAAATGCGTCGCTTAACCACACATAGTAGGTGGACAGTAAAAATTATTGGTGAAACGGCATGTGGCGCAGCAGTGGACAGATAACGAAATTTGAGTGATCTACATTTATGAAGAGAACGTGGCTGGTGTAATGGAAACATTTATTGTTATAACCAACAGTATTAGCGATTGTTTGATTGTACCTTTTTGTTTAATTGTACCAAAAACACAATTTTTCCGCTTTTCGTGACCTTGAACTCACGCACACACGATAGTCTCGCCTGTAAACTTAGGCACGATCCGGTGTTAATTCAATATCACGAGACCAGCAGCAAGTATATCCTAACTACAATCTACAACTGTCTTTCTGATATTTATCCTATGGAGGGATTTAATCAGGTAATTGGCCCGTAATAAATCTATAGTGGTGGTTATAGTCAAATGAGACTCTACACTACCATAGAACAATGAACATTCCAGACAACAGTACAATTCGAAACGTCAGTGAAACCTATCTGAGTAGACTTTGAATTCATGAATATGAAAAATTTTCAAAATTCCGCAGCAAACATTGTGTAAATAGTCAGATATTAAAGAATATATAGAGAAGGAGTGGAAGATGTTGTATTTGTACGAACTTATGATTCTTTTGTACATAGTTGTCCACTGATTACGAATTCCGAATACAATACGTTCGTTTGTGCTCACTTAGTTTGGTCTGACTTAAATTTCAGTGTTTCATGAATTCCGAGTTAGTGCATTAATTCTGACACTACTAATCATTATTTTGGGTCGCGATTGAGACAAATATTGGACAGTTGGATGTACATTCAAATTCTGAAGCTTTCGAAGAATAGATAGAAATGCATGAAATCTGTTACATGAATGGAAACGATATCAGAGATGATGAAGTCACAGCGTGTTTTCTGGCTTTCATCAGTGATGTAGTCCACAATCTGCTACCGAATCTGACTTTTCCGGAGAAACCGATTTCAATGTCATACGAATCTATCAAGGAGTTACCGCTACATCGTGTGTAGTGTATCAGCTTCGAATGCAGTGGGTGATCCAAGTTTCATAAAATAATGCTACCAGATGATCAGAAAGTTGGAAATTTTACGCTTAAACTACAGAAGCAGGCCGCCACGTGCAACTTCGGTGACCGATTGAAAAACCAACTTCTTGATCGGTTGATTACTGCGATGAATGTTCAGAATCCAGAAAAAGAATTGATTCAGGGTCACAAAAAGTCACTTCAATAAAGAGAAACACCATTTGCTCTAAATTTAGTAAAATCGGACACATTTAGTCAGTTTGTAAGATTATTATGCATTTTGCCGCAGGTAGAGTTAAATATCAGTCCAGAATTAAATGACATGCAGAATCATGATGAAACGAAAGCTTCTAGTCAGGAAATATCATTTTTTAATGATTCACATAGTTTTGATGGAATTTCTGATTGAATGTTTGAATGCATTAATGACAAAAACTGTCCATGTGGAAATGATGTTGTATATCAGATAGGTGCCAAATGTAGAAGACCATTTAATGAACCCTGAACATATTAGGATCTTAGTAAGCGGAAGTAAACACATGTGTCCGACAGTATGTTAGTAACACGTGCAATGCAAAGTAATCACAGTCACAACTATCAAAACATCCTCACAATTTCTTAATACGCGTTTGTGCAATCCAGTAAAATGTATCCATGTTGATATAATTTAAATAACCCATTTTGTTATTGAATGGAAATAAAGAGAATTCAACGGAGAAAATTTTCTTTCCAACGAAATCGCTTACTTAATCTGTATACATTTGCAATACAACATTAAATACAAATATTAGCCGTACTGTAGTTCAGGAACTCCACCTGTAGGACTTCAAGGGTTAATGCCGGTTTCTTGTACGGATAAAGGGGGATGGTTAAGGAAGAATTCACAAACTTCATCTAGCACTAAACAACCTCGGTTGAATGCTCTATAAAATATTATGTATAACTATGAACAGTGTGCACACTTTCTGAAGAGTGTGTGACATTTTTAGTGTATTCTTTGCGATCTACATTAGATATAATTATCCATTATTATTAATGTTACTTACTGAAGCAGACTGATCGAGGTCTCAACTAAAAAATCTTCCTGAAAATGTTTCAACACATGTTTTGGCACCCTAGCAATATATATTCGAAGAGATTCTCATCAAAATGCTGAATGTTATTTAATACAAATAATTTCGTCTAGTCACGACAAACCGTAAATCTTCAAAGCACCTACAGAATGCTATGTCAAATATGT